GGCCTGAAGTCATCCAACTGGCTTTCATACCTAAGGCACGACTAGAACTAACGTTCTCCTGGTTTAACCACTAGACCAAATTGATGACAAATATCACTCAATAGAAAAAAAAGGACCTTCAGGAACATTCTGTACAAGAATACACATCATAATTTTGACAAGTTTTTTCTCACTATATTTACATAATTTCTTAGTTATATTTCTTTTGGAATTTATCTGACATTTTACTACTTGGTCAATCATAAACAAATGGCACATCTTTCGAGCCACATTGTATACTTTAAATTTGAAAATTATTCGCAGTAAAGCCACAAAGAATCTCCAAAATGAACAAATTTACAAAGACAGAAACTCAGCTGACTATAGCCCGCTTCTATGAGAGGTAGCCCCCAAAATATTTTTATCTCTTGAATTTACTGCAACAGATTAGTATGATTAGCCCAGTCAAAGTTGGAATAAATAAACTTGAATGATACACACTTATAACTATAGGATGACGGAACATGTAGACTGTAGCGAATTTATACTTTAAAGCTAATATTTCAGTTTATAATGGGGAGGGGGAATAGTCATCATACAGATAAACACACCAGAATGGAGACACTAATTTTTATTTATTATTCCTCAAGGATACCGTTTTTCATTCATTCCTTGCTTACTGTGATCAATTCTCTCTCTCTCTCTCTCCCCCCCCCACCTTCCCACCCCCGAATATATGAATTAATGTCATATTTTCATTTTGGAGTATTTCCTTTCTTTGTTCTTTATTTTTGAAATGCAACCTTAAGGGCGGGAGAGCGGGGAACCCACAAGATTGCACTTCAAGCTTGCAAGTAAAGTTACTTAAAATCAGTGCTCTTTACTTCGGAATAAACTTTATTAGCACTCTGGGCTTTGGGTAACCCTATTACCCAATTTCCTTTAAAATAACACTAAAAATTGATTCCAAGTATATACTTTTCTGAAACTTTCATCAAATAATATTCAATAAATAGCAAGATTACTTTAAGAAAAAACCCTGCTCCCTTGCATCATCTTTTCTTTTTAGTGTTTTATTTACCTGCAGCATTAATAGCTTCACATTCCCCTAATCATTTATCAGTAGTATTCTATTCTAATTAATTCTAATGAATATCTCAGAGAACATTCTCTAAAACTTATAATGTATTTCATTTCCTATATACAGTCCTACCGTAGATACTTAATATTATCTGTAACAATTACAAAACGTAAGTCTTTGCATTAGTTATTGAAACTTTACAGCCTAAGGCTACAGATTTCCAGAATACTTGCCAAAATGTTGAATCACCTGTATAAGATGTGGAATGAATTAGCATGGGCATCTATCTAAAATTGCTAAAATATCATTAAGCTATAAATTTTTTTATAATCAAAACCTACCAGAGTAATAACAGTACTATCATTAGATTGCCTAATAAAATTGCTAAGGGTTCCAAGACTCAGGAATAAAAACAACATACCAAAAGGCAGTGGAGAAAATGTTTGGTCCAGTGGTTAAAGCATCAGGCTAAAAAGCAGGAGACTGTGAGTTCTAGTCCTGCCTTGGCTATGAAGGCCAGTGAGTCACTCTCTCTCTCTTAGCCCAGCTCACCTCACAGGGCTGTTTTGGAGAAAATAAGAGGAGGAAGATGTGTGGGATATGTTTGCCACCTTGAGTTACTTGTAAAAATAATAAATACAAATAAAATTTAAAAATGGAGGATACTATGCTTCTGAAATTAATCAGTTTGTCATAACCTATGCAGAGGGATGTTAATAGTAAATGCCCATGCATTTAATAACATTGAATGGAAATCCATATTGCCTCATGAGTTGCTGAAGGAAATTAATTCAGATCAATTATGTTTTATTTCTGCATAAATATAGGACAAACATAATCATCTGCATTGTTGTAATATCATCTTTCTTCAACCTAAGAGTGTTAAAGAGAATATGATATTTTAGTTGTTTGCAGTCTGCTGTGAAATCCAGAAAAATCTGACTAGAAATCATAGTGTGATAATATATACTATTATGATCCCTGTGAGGAAAAGAATAATGACTCTCTTTGTTCTCGATAAAAAGTTGAAACTGCTGTGTTTTCACTTTAATTGTAAAAGGAACAGAGCAATTATGATTTCCTCCATTAATCATTCACTGCTCTTTCCTGCTCACAAAATATCCCACATATTTCACTACAGTAATCAGCAAGCTGGCTGGGACCATAAAAAGGCAGATGTAAGGGCCACAGTGAAACACAAAGGACTTAACAAATAATCTTACTGTGTTTTCTCAAATTTGGTTTCTTTAGATCATTGCCAGACAGTAATGAAAATAGAAAAAAAAACTAGGATTTTGATTAAATATCATTGGGTGTTCTCCTTTCCCAGAATAAAATGGGTTTACTCCTTCCAATAGTAAGTCCAAAGGTTCCTTTGTGAAAGTACCGTACATTCCATATTGGTTTGGTAATTTGTTACCCAAACAATTAGATGAGATATAGTACTTTCTCTATACAGTATAGCCCTCACTCCAAACTTATTCACATCCCTCCCATGTTAGCATGTGATTTTCTTTCATTTCCAAATTTCCAAATAACTTTCTGTACCTTGATGTCAAGATAAAGGGGGTGCTGCTGCAGTTCCTGCTGCAAATAATATTTCAGACATGCTTGTGAAAGTCTTAACTTTGTATAAACTCTCATATCAACTTGTAAAATTAGGCATTCTCTATTTTATATTTAGGGAAACCGTGTCTAGGAATAGCGCATCATAGCCAAGACCATATATAATACTAATTATGGAGCCCTATTTACATGTTATCAACAATGCTATCTATGCAGGTTTTCAAATGAGATATAATCTCACCTGTTTCAGTGACAAAGCTTAATGATGGCATCACAATTACAATATAATTCTCCTGTTTTCTCAGAGTAATATGGATTGCACAAATTAAGAGATAGTAAAGCATTTCAGTTAGGACTGGATATTGATTGAGTTTGAAGACTTAAATGACTGGAATAAAACACACCATTTGTGTAGGTAGCTCATGCTAAGGCAGTGTTTCTCAACTATGGCAATTTTTCAGATGTATGAACTTCAACTCACACAATTCCCCAGACAGTTATGTCTATATCTGAAAGTTGCCAAGATTTAGAAACATATGCTAATGTCCAATAAATAATAAATAAATAAAGTCAAATAATCTGCTAATAAAGCAGCATGTCTCTCAAATTCTGGGATAGACAAAGGAAAAAAAGAGAACAGGAAAAATACTTCCAGAAGAATTGGGAAAGATTTCTATAACAATTTATTTTTAAAGGGCTACTCCCCATCATTTCAGTTTTTCCTGTATCTTGAAATAGATCCAATGTTATGATGCAAGTGATTGGTATTGGACTAGGATTGGGGAGATTTCCACTGACCCATGAGCCTCATTGAGTGACTTGAGGCAATCATCCACTCTCATATAATATGTTTCATTTACGGTATACAGTTTTGAAAATATAAGGGGGTATGTATGGTGAGTTTCTTGGAGAAAGAATGTGATATAAATGTAGCAAATTAGTGTATTCCAGTTGTTTTGGATTATAAAATTCATAATTTCAAACCATTTGGTTGTAATCCCAGTTAGGAATATATAGAGAGAGCAACAAATAGCCTATTTCTTTGTAAATAATCAAAGTCTGACTGAAAAAAGGATGATATAATGTTTCCTAAGGTTCTGAGCTGGATTAAAGCCAACTGATATCCTAGGTACAACCCAACAATGATGCCACTTCCATTACTTAACAGACAAGATACAGTATTTAGTCACAAGTGCTGAAAAGTAGAGTATGGCAGTGAAAGAATTAAGGGCATGAGGGGGGGAAACTCTGTGGTGCCTCCCTTCCTTTGGTGCACTAAGCACAGGTAATTTGGCTTAATGGTTCTTAGTAGAGTAAGATTTCAACTAAGTACATTTGGAACTCATGACTCACAATTCATGTTATTTCTCACTACCAGACAAACAACATAAATAAAAAAGAAAATTAATAATTTCAAGAGCTGATATGAAACCTGAATATTGATAGCAATAATTAAACTTGACATAGTCATTGAAAATTTTGCATTCACTGTTATGTGATAATAGAATTTCGATTGTTTTAATGAATAAAAATCAGACCAGAGTTTTGTAATTAAAAATTTAATCAAAATCAAGAAAGCTTACAGTAATTTAAACATAGGAAACACTTTTTCAAAAATACACACCTTCAACAGCTTGAGACAGGAAGACAACAGTTTCAATTATATATTTGTCCTTAATTAAATATACAAGTCTTGGTTTTATTATGGGTTGTGGTAGTTTTGTTTGCATGGTTCATTGTATTAAAGAACACTTGCTATCAAAAGATACTCACCCATCATTTCTTTTTATAGATATTTAAACACATTTTCAATCATCAATCAATAGTCAAATTGCAAAAGCTACAAAAATATCTAAATAGCTAAGGCAGGCAGGTAAGCTTAAGACTAAACATACAGTCAGGTCATCTACTTTCTAGCAAAGTATATAATTACTATTACAAGTCACTCCTATTCATATATGAAATATCTCTTGGTAGTTTAAGAAGCTCTTATAAATCTGCAAGCATTAAATCTGCATTTTTAACCTACAGACTAATGGAAAATTTATATAAACAGAATTTTATTTTATAAATGTATGTAGTACATGCAAGGCATCATAAAAAACATTCATTTGACATTGTATTAAAAACCACAAAGTTTTAAAAACCGCTGATCAGAAATTTAAAAAAAACCGTTTTTTTTATCAAGAAGAGCAATCCTCTAACCCAGGGGTAGTCAACCTTGGCTCTTTTATGACTCGTGGACTTCAACTCCCAGCTGGCTCAGGAATTCTGGGAGTTGAAGTCCATGAGTCATAAAAGAGCCAAGGTTGACTACCCCTGCTCTAAGCCGTCTCCCTCCTCTTTCTTCCATAAAAGACAGATATAACAGCAGTTATATCTGTCTTTTAGAGGCACATAAACCAGCCCCACTGCTAACTGGAACAGTTGTGGCTGGTATGAACCTCTTTTTGCTGCCAAACATAAGGCTTGAATCTGTAGATGAAAAGAACAGGGATGAGCTTTGCACATTTTCCTTTGGGTGAAAAAGACCTAGGAAATTCTTCAATACTTTCTGCCGGAATTGCTGGTCCATAAAGGCATAGATGATGGGATTAATGCAGCTGTTTGTGAAAGCCAGACAAGCACTGATAATGAGTCCCCTCCTGAGAGCTTTCAATACCTCACAAGAGAAGTCGATGTTCTGTACCACACCGTAGGTGATGAAAGCTGTGAAAGTATTGAAGGGTAACCAACAGCAGATGAATGCCCCAATGATGACAAAGATGATTTTAAGAGCATGGTTTGTTTTCCTGCCTAACTTGACATGACTCTGGAGCATGGAGAAGATAGAGCAGTAGCAGAATAAGATTACTCCCAAGGGTAGCAAGAAAGTCAAAAAAAGTACGGTGAAAATATAGACGACAGAAGGCTCTTCATCCTGGCATGAAAACCTGTCTCCCACAGGGATCAGCTTTCTGTAGAGCAAAGATGGTATTCCTAATAGAAAGGAAAACACCCAGATGCAACCGCAGGTAATGTTGGAATTTCTCTTGGTCCCGAGAGATCTGGAATCCCAGTGTTTATTCATCACAAGGAAGCGTTCCACACTCATGCCCATCAGGAACAAGATGCTTGAGCAACGGTTCACGGAAATCGCATAGCTGCTAAATTTGCACAGCTCTTCACCAAACCACCAGGAATCAAATGCTTCTGTCAAAGCCCAAAAAGGCAAAGTGCATACGAAGACAAGGTCTGCAATGGCCAGGTTAAGGACGAAGTTGTCTACAAGCCTCTGGTTGCCTCGTTTCTGCACCATCACCAGGACCACAAATAGGTTCCCAAAGAAGCCAATGAAAAAAATCATGAAGTAGATGACAGAGATAAAGATAGAGGCAAATGGCAGCTTTTCCCTAAGGCAGAAGGCATCACTGGTAACTCCTGAACCATAATAGTCTAATTCCAAGTCTCCAGTCCAATTTTTGGTCATGGCCAAGTCAGTTACCAACTCAGAAATCTTCATTTTCTATCAGAGACTCAGCAAAGAGTTTTCAGCCTACAGTTGCAAGGGCTAGCCAAAGTACATATGCTCTATATTTGGTTGGGTGGTATTTAAATAAAGCAGTGGTTTGCCTGTTTTTAAGCACCTGTGGTAACTTCCTCTTGTTTTTATGAAAAGTTGATGCCAAGCAGCAGATAGAAGTCCTGAAACTCTATAAGAATAAAGTAAACACTTAGTAACATAATTTGGTATGGCTGAGTAGCCACATTCTTGGTGGTGGTGTAGTCTATTGTAACAGAGTAGTTAGTTATTTGCAAGCTGCTTTTCTCATTGGATAGTTTAAGCTCTTTCTCAGAAGGCTCAGATCAAATTGGAATTACAAGTCTTAAAATTTCAGCCAACATAGGGACAGTCATAAAATTATTGGTCATAAATTATTAAGGAATATTTTGTCTTTTTTCCAAAGTCAGTTTTTTTTCAATGGGCAAAATTAAGTGGTTGCTTTCAGGTAGTATAGAGAGACTGTTAGCATCCTCAACTTGCATGACAAAGTTGTGAAGTCCACAATGGCCAGTTCCACATTCCTTAAGCTAATTTGTTGCACTCAAATGAGGTAAAATGTGCTGTCCTTTCATTATGTCAATTTAAGTTAAAACTGCAGTCTCATCTATTTTTGTAAGAATGGGAGAGATGCCACCTTGTTCTTCATCTCAGCTATTAAGTGTCTTGAGACATCCTTGTCTTTCACATTGAATTCTTCAGACAATTAAAATGCAAATATTATTACAATTACCAAGCAGCGGTTCCTTCCACACCAATCCAAAGTAGTTTATGTTTAAAAATTCCATTTAGGTATATACGAATAAACATTTTCTAGCAAATTATGCTAGAAAACAATGACAGATTATATATTTTATGAATGAAAAAAAGAAAGAAATGCACATCAAGACAGTAGAGTACATTTAAACATAATATAGATAATGCCTAGCATGACACAGAAAGTACTTGATTCAGAGATGGAATAAAATCACTCACAGATAGCAAAGATGGCTATTTTTCTTCCTTCTCTCAGTTTCAATCCACTGAGTACAAACTTCTAACTAGGGTAGCATCTTTTTCTTTGCCTAATATCAAAAAACAAGCTGCCTTCCATTGAGGTAATTCTCAGGACATGCAAAGAATAAGACGTGGCCAAATCATAAGTTTTATAAATTGTGAACACTAGACAATCAGAAAGATTGAACTAAGAAATGCTGATCATGAATTTACAGTTCTGTTATTTTATATACATTATTTGAGAATTGCTGATGCTTGAAAAAAATAAGTCAATCAAAAAAGTGGCCAATAAAAGACAAGGCAACAAGATATTATCACTAATGACTTATCAGTTTTGTAAATTCTTTACCTTATCTTACTGATGAGGAAAAAAAAGCACAAAAATACACAAAATGACCACAGAAGCAGCTAAGATAAGATGGCAAGGGGATATGCACAGGGCAAGGGTGCCCGTATGTTTCAGCTGGAAAGGATAAAAAGTCATGAGGTAACCGACATTGACAAGTTCTAGTTTGCGCTTCGAGAACCAAACAAATGATGAGTACCAGGACAAAATTTTCTTGCCAAAATGCGGCAAGTACCAAATTTGACAAGTTTCAAAGGAGTCGAATACCAAGGTATGACTATATTGCCTATTTGTAGTTGTGCTAATAGTTGTTTTAATCTGCAAGAATGTGTCTATACATAAAGAACAATAAAAGAAACTACTCTTAAATAACTCCAGATGTCATTCTTGGTTCTTGGAGTCTGACATTGATTAACTGAAAACAATAACAAACGATCTTAGAGATACTAAATACAGTCTCAGATGTTGCCTGCTCCTTTGCCAGTTCCTCAAGGCAGCTATTCTGATAATACTACACCACAAAATCTTCAGCGCTCAGAATGATGGAATAGGAGACTTTTGAAGATCACACAGCAGAAAATAGTAGATGTTGCCTGTTTTTACAACAGCTAAGGAAACTTCTGCGGTTTCCTAAAGTCCATTCACATTTGGATAAATAATTAAAACTTGAAATTCATTCATACAAACAGGAAAGGTGAATAATTATAACATACATTTGTAAGAAATATAAAACAATTTTAAAAAGTAAAACATCATAGTTCATAAACATTAAAAATAGGTAAGTTTCTGTAAAATATATAGGGAAAATATAGAAAAATATGGAGAAAAGATAAGAGAGCTGTACTCTAATAAGATGTATATAGAAATGAAGATTCTAACAGATGCAGTTTTTTATTCACAGTTTATAAAAGCCTCGTGTTTAATTTTTCATCTATTATATTTTGCATTAATATCTAGTCTAGACCTAGATTTGGTAAGCTAAAGAGAACCAAATTCCTATTGTCTTATTCCACAAATAGGAAGAAAGGAAATGAGAGCGTAAGAATCTCTTAAAATTAGGACAATTTACTATGCCTACCAGATATTTGGGGACACCCACCAGAATTCCCAGCCAGCATGGACATTGCTGAGAATTCTGGAAACTGAAGTTCACACACAAGGAGAGTGTCATGGTTAGGAAAGGCTGCCTTGAGACAGTGTTTCTCAATTTCAGCAACAAAGATGTATGTACTTCAGCTCCCAGAATTCCCCAGCCAGCCATGCTAGTTAGAAATTTGGGAGCTGAAATCTATACATCTTAATGTACTAACATTGAGAAATACTGTCTTAAGATATGGTCCATTGGCATATTAGGACAAATCTACTTTTCCTCTATCAAGCGACTATGTCCTCATTTCCTTTCTAAGAAATTGCAGGAACAGTTTAATAGCTGCAAATATTCTCACTGACTGGGCACTTTATTGTTTAAATGCTATTGAACTGATAAAACATTACTATAAATGTTTTCAAAGGGACTTCTATAGCCACTTTAATTTAAGATTACTGTGCACAAAATGAAATCTTTAAGAAATGGGCAGTCAGATCCAACATATTCATTTTGGCTGCTGAGATTAAATTAATTACATTTAATTAATTACAGCCCACAGGACATAAACATCTATTTGTTGGGGATGGTTCTGCTCAAATTGCACTTGGACTGCCCCTGGTAGTTGTGAGTCAATTGAACCCCACTTTTCAATGTCTCCTTTCCTGAAACATATCCAGTGTATCTTGTCCACTTCCCTGTGTAAGATGTGACCATTCTCCTTTTGGCCATCCCTGGAAGATTGGCAGGGCTCCTTGATACCACAATTGGACCATGAACCCCAATGGGCTCATGGGTGGTATGCTCCTCCCGTGTTCCATTTCTTTATATTTGTGTTCTCTCCTAAGGAACTACCACCCCTACTGGCTCCTTGGTTGTCTGCTTTCTCTGAAGAACCAGGACTGAACTTACCCTGCCAGTTGTTATGTGTTCTGTGACTAAGGCAGGCCAGTCTGAGTCCAAAGAGATGACATCCTGCAATTCCAGATGAGCCCCCAACTTGTTGCCCTTAAAACTCAGGTGCCTGTGTGGGGTGGGAAAGAACCTAGTCCCGTGGTGGCGAACCTATGGCACGCGTGCCAGAGGCGGCACTCGGAGCCCTCTCTTTGGGCACACGCACTGTCGCTGCAGCCCCGCCTCCTCCCATGGCCCCCTCCTCACCAGCAGCCCCCTGGAGGAGAGTTGCCCCTGGGCATGGCCCACATGAAGCAGTGCAGCCAAGGACATGGTAGCCAGGCAGCGGGGACAAGACTCCATCCTTGCGCTCCATCACACGCAGATGATGCTGTGGGGCACGGGCGGAGGGCGTGGCCACCATGGCACTACTGGGCTGCCTGGGTGATCTGTGGTGGGCTGTGGAGGTGGTCAGTGGCCCAGCGGGCACAGCGGAGCGGGGATGGGTGGTTTTGGGGCACTCAGTCTCTAAAAGGTTCGCCATCACTGACCTAGTCCCTGAATTTGAGAAACACCCAAAACCATAGAAAGTGGGGGGGGGGGAGGTTACCTACCTCAATATAAACCACAATTACTTGGTGCAAAGCAAAAGGTATTTTATTAAGGGGAGGAATCAAGTCTTTATATAGGGTGCAGAAATAATGGATGCATAAATTGTTATATGTAATGCATCCACAACAAACAATAAAATACATTAATTAGATTTTGAGGAAAGAAAGATTAGATTTGAGGCACCCTTAAAATATCTTGCATCTTTTTTTCAAACTGGCCTTGCTTCTTTACACTTGTAACACTTAAGGACTTCAAAACACATTGTTGATTGATGGTCCCTGAAAGGGGTATTTTTTGCACAACAAAGGAAATGGCTTTGGTTCAAAGGAAAACCTAAAATTCTAAGTAAACACTACTTTTATGTTGTTATTATTTAGGGCATTGAAACAGTGCACTAAGCCAAGACTAACGAACAGTTACAAAAATGTACTTCTGATAAGCATTAAACATGACTCTTCATTTTCTCTAATGGTTATAGAAATACTTATCTAACCTGAAACTCAGCTCTCCATCTAATTCATATGATAAATCAACCACCGCTGTTATGCGGAAAAGTGACTTCCACTTCTGACCTTTACATAATATAACTATCAATATCAAGGAATTCCAACCCAAAACGTACTTTATCCAAAACCAGCAATGCATACAGTATATCTAATTCTAACTCTCATCCCAGCACTCATAGCTGTGGGTTTTTTTTTTAATCATATGATATAGAGAGAGTGCTGAGTTAGAATTTGAATAAATATTTTTATTGCCTTTAAGGAAAAGGTAACTACAATGGGATAATTATTCTTTCACAATAAAACTTCCAAATGCTAAAAATACTGTTAAACAATGCTATAGAATAATACAATACCTGGCTAATTAATATGTGAGTTAGAGCAGCAGTCGCCAACTTTTGCAGCTTGGTAGCCTGGCTTGGGGGGGAGAGAGGGGAACCGGGTCATGCATGCGGGGACTGGCACGCCTGCAAGCCGGTCCGACTCTTCTGTGAGTGGAGCTGCATGCCCATGTGCGTGCTGGCCC